AACACAAGCTTGATGGAGGGGGTAAAAACATGATACACGTTAGCGACAGGCTGCAGCAGCGACTAGAGCGTAGAGCTGTCGCTTTCGTGCATGCAGCGGCCGTGTACTTAAAGCTGGCGATTCAGCCTCCCAATTTCCCATCTCCCTAACAGCAGCAGCACTCCGTAACAATTGCGCCGGACTGGCTGTATTTCTTGCCACCCGCGACGTAAACCTTCGTCAGATTCACAAAGTCAAACACGCGGCATTGATGTTGAGCGGGTGTGGAGGAGAGGGGCGAAATTTGCCCTCGAGGACTACGAAGTGAGAGCGAGGGCCTCACTCACCCGTTCAATCCTGCGAGCTCCCCACGCCAGCCTCACCATCACCTACACGGCAGTACCACAATGACCGCTTATCCGCTGCGACTGTGAGTACGACGTTGCTCATGCTATCTTCATCGAAAAACTGGCTGTTCAAGCTGTGACAAGCCCCAGGAAAGGAAGCGGGAAAAAAAGATGCATGTGCTCTGTAGTTTTCTGTTTCTGAATGCACGACGTCTAGTCAAACTATTCTGAAGGTGGCAGAAACATATCATGTGTCTCTATATAGCAGTTCCTCCCGATGCTTGTTCCAGCTCTGAGAAAATTTCGCCGTTGTTTGTAGAGGATTACATGCGGGTGGTCAGCCGGTTAACGCGGTCGATACTACTAGCCGAAGAAACACAGCATTCACTCACCAGTCTTTCGTCGCACGGGCAGCAGCAAATACAAGGGAAGAACGCGATGGCAATCAAGCACGTGGCGATGCCGCAGTACTTCTCCCGGACCCATGCACCGCCTAGAGGGGCGTTCGGAGGAGTGTTGTCCATCTCTTGCACCACGACTATCTGCTCGTGTTTCGCCAGAACGTGCCCGCACACAACAAGGTTTCACTATGCCAGCCAAGGTAAGGACACAGGCTTCCCTCGTTGGGGGGAGGCCCAGGTCGCAGTAGTCTTTACCCACTACTAAGGGCTGGCAGTTCTCTTCGTTGAGATTTAAAGAGGAGAGGGTCTCAGAAGAGAGAGACAAGAGAGAGAGAGAGTACCGCCGAAGGGGCGAGGGAGACCAAGCCCGAAGGTCTCGGATTCCCAAGCTCCACAGGTGGCGCCAAGAGGGACGCATCCATAGTCGGGTCTCTTGCTGATCAACCATCAGTAAGATCCTCCGTTCGGATCGTATCTTGGTCCTACTTTTGTATGTCTAACAACAATGGTTACAGCACTTTTACACCTGTCATCCACAAAGGCCGAGAAATATTTTCTCAGGCAAACGTCTTCATGAGTTAGATTGCCGCCATGCTTCAACTAACCGCTCATCGCTTTCGAGAGTCAGCACTATTCCTGCTCAGCATGGAATGCCGTCAACCGTCGGACGTACTTGGATACGGGTGTGCCCAAGACGTGGCGGAACCCCCCCCCCTTTCGCATTGGTGTTTCGTGCCCGCCGCTTTTCGCCGAGTTTTTCCGGGGGCGTTGGGGGGCGGAGCGATTCTCCCGCCAAGACCAAAGTCCAATTGACAAAATACTAAAGTTATGTTGGTTTAAACTTGACCCGCCGCGCTTCACTTACCGTAGGGCCGGTGCCAGGCTGCTGCTGACGTGGGGTGTCAACCCAAGTTGGTTGCACGCCCACGTACCCCGAAAAAAAGTGGAACCCGGCAGGTGTTCGTGCGGAAGCAGCAGACGGTGCAAGAACATGAAACAGCCGGCAGTGAGCGGTATGCATGTACATCGTGCGATATACCGATGGACTGTAGCGCAGAGACGATCGTCTACTGCATTGCGAGATGCAAGACAGCACCTGGTGATGAAATCTTATGGTACCTGCTGCACCGGTTGATTTTGGCGGACGGCCTGCTGCCGGTAGACTGTGTCAACTTTCTGAACGGCTGGCACGGCAGTGGCCTGCACCACTTGTGCGGGGTAGACGCTACTACCCGGCGGTTGATAGGTTGCCGGCGGTGCACTGGCAGTGGGTGAGACCGGAGGATCCCACTGGGTCTGCTGAGTTTGATGGTTAACGTCTGGCATAGGAAGTGCGCAAGGGTACACAGAACAGTTATATAGTCAGGCTGTTGCAAGCAACCGTAGTGATACGCTGCCCATAACCCTAACACACAGGCCAACATCTCTGTGCCTACTTTCTACAGTTGCTGCTGGGCAAAGCACACCTGATGCAACAGACACAAGAGCTTTGATTCGTGCGTGTCTCTCTCTACCGATCACCATTCATTCGCTTGTGAGGTCCGGCACCTCGACAAAATCTGTGCGACACGGAGCCTGTACCTCCCGGGACTCTACTACTGCTGTGGCGATTGTCCCTCTGCCGACAGCGGCCGCACCCACACAGAGAGCCGTGCGTGTGATCACCTCCTCCATTTTGATAAGCTGCACATGGGAGGTGAGGCATCCCTTGTGGGGGCACCTCAAGGCACCCCTTCAGAGCAGTACACATTCTGTACCGTAATGTTTTCATGACGAATCTGGGGGACGGATATTGCCCTTCGTATTTGTGCAGACCAGCTTATAGACTACAAGTCTGGTCTGATCTTTGGCGATGTACGATTTCACAGGGCTCTCCAAACGAATTTCAGCAGTTTGAATATTGATCAGTTTGCTGTTGAGTGCAGTTCTTTGGAGAGGGATGACGTGCATGCACAACCTACATTACGTGTGATGGGACAACACGTCCGTCCTCGAATGCTCAAGAGGGAGCTAGGAAGAACACCGGCTGCAAGACGACTTGAGCCGGTGCCTACTGCAGCAGTTCGTCGGCATAGAACTAAGTAGGAGAATCAGAACTCACAGTAGACGCGCCCGGAGGCATCCGTTCCGCTATCCCATCCTGGTGGCAAGTTCATGACCGATTATCTGTAGCTCCTGTTGTTCCTGTAGTAAGCTATTCGCGATACCCACGGGAAGAATTACCCGGTAGCTTCACCGCCGTGTTGTTCCTTTCAGGCAGCGATTCGAAGCCTGTACTGAACATACCATTCCCGTACTACTGTATCTCTCCCAGCGTAGGTTGGACAACAAAACAACAAGACAGTACGACAACTTTCACGATCGCTATTGTAGAGAGACGATCAGCCCGACAGTTACACACGAAACGGCGTTGTATCGCCCGCCGATCATTTTCTCATTTTTTTTCTTTCCCCAGCGTACCATGTTTCTCTTCTCGTTGGCCACCGAGTATTTAGTAACAGCTTTCGGTGTGATTGGACGTGTCAGCCGGGGTCATAGTGAACATGCTTTCACTGCGCTCCACATTTGTGTGTGGTCTAGACGCAAAAGTTTAAGCTTAAGTTTTTTCTCCCTCCTCCCTGCCTTCCCACGTCACACACGCTCAACATGCTATCATTTTTTGTGTCCCTGGCAGGTCTGTCTTGTGCTCCACTCTGGACGGATGTGCGTGTAAGCTGTTGCGCTTCAGAGTCATTCCATCGGTGCGATCGTCTGATGGTGTGTTTGTTCCGCCACATGATACACGGTATGAAGTGCCTTGCTGTTGTTGTCAATGTACAGCCATATGTCCACATTCGTCGACCACTTGTTGACCCAAGTATCCGCTGGTAATGACTCCTCTCACACACGCTCTCACACTGGGCGGGTTCCGCGCTAAAAAGCTCAATGTCCTTTCCCATCTCCAAAAAAAAAAAAATCGACTTCGGGAATCGTTCTGAAACGCCCAAAGGCGGGTTCTAAAAAGTCACCCCCCAAAAAAAAGGTCCCCTTCGACGAGATTTTTTTTTTCGCCGCATTCCCGAACTTTTTTCTCTTGGGGCGTTGCTCCAATCGCTTCCGCTTGGCCGATTTAGGGGGGGTAGAGCCACTCAGAAAGTTGGTCAGACCTACTCCCACCTTGGGAAGGGCCCTGGTATGGATCGGTCTCAGGCTGGGCCGCGAGGCCCAGCTGTTACTGTATCTGGCGAGTGCCTTCGCATCATGTATGCTGGTTCGGACCAACATACTGCTGTGCGGCATAAGTAGGAGATCAACAAAGACAGCACTAGACCCGAACGCGGAGTTAAGCTTTACGCTGATCGCAAGGATGATAAGCAGCCTGGTGGATGGTCCAAGCAGATTGTANGTCCCCTTCGACGAGATTTTTTTTTTCGCCGCATTCCCGAACTTTTTTCTCTTGGGGCGTTGCTCCAATCGCTTCCGCTTGGCCGATTTAGGGGGGGTAGAGCCACTCAGAAAGTTGGTCAGACCTACTCCCACCTTGGGAAGGGCCCTGGTATGGATCGGTCTCAGGCTGGGCCGCGAGGCCCAGCTGTTACTGTATCTGGCGAGTGCCTTCGCATCATGTATGCTGGTTCGGACCAACATACTGCTGTGCGGCATAAGTAGGAGATCAACAAAGACAGCACTAGACCCGAACGCGGAGTTAAGCTTTACGCTGATCGCAAGGATGATAAGCAGCCTGGTGGATGGTCCAAGCAGATTGTAGGTCACTGCCCCGCCTTCGAGCGCGATTTGTCCAAGTTGGCGAAATAAAAGGCCAACGAGGTCATGCATGTAAAGAGGGAGACAGCCAAGAGGAAGAAGATACCGCAGAGGGGCGTGCGGTCGGGAGCAGACCACTCAATGAGCTGCCCCGTTCTGGCGGCCATCGGCACGAAGACTCGTGGTTCAGGCGGCAGCAGTGGGCCATCTGCTGACCCAGCAGAGGTGAGACACAGTTTTCGAGATGCGTAGGACATCACACACGCAGCTGCTTGAAGTCTATCCCTGCTGCGGGTATGCCACGCTCCTGCTGCACCCCGCCACCCATGTTGCCGCCGTTGACGACTGCACACAACATCATGCTACACACGCGGTCACGGTAGTATGCTGAACGGAAGGATGTCACAAAATACATAAAAGTATCGGTCCGACTCTGCCGCCGACACACTGTTGTACGTGCCTCTGTGCTGCCACCAACTTACAGCTGCCGTTTGACTGGAGGGACACAGCTGCCTCATTCCTGGAAGCAATGAAGTCCATGACTTCCGAAGCCCTCTTGGCATGTCTGAGCCAGGAGGGGATACCAGCTGCGCAGGAGCTGCAGGAGCTGCAGCTGCAGCTGGAGGACGCGCGGCAGTTCCAAGCGGCATCGCGGGAAGCACTCAAGGACGCAGCCGTGTTTGGCCGGACCAACCAGGGTAGGCAAACCTATCAGACGATTCTCACTGCCTGTGCCTACGATGGGGATGAGGGGACGCAAGCGTTGCCAAGCTACCGGAAGGCCGAGATACTCGGCGTTGACCCGGCTGAATTTTCGCGTGCGCGGCAGCGGGTGAAGTCGCTGCAGCCCCACCTCCCTCCTGCAGCAGCGCTGGAGGCTGGAGCGTACTGGTACCGCTCCCGACGTAAGAGGAGCGACGCCACCCCGCCCGAGCTGGTAGAGCTCATGAAGGATTTCTGGCACAACGATGCGGTATCGCGCCTCACGGGAAACTCCGCTCACATCTTCCGGGAGTCCAAGAGTCCAACTGCACGCACACACCCTCGCCGGCAGCTCATGGTACAGGGAGGGGGGGAGACGGTGTTCAAAAAGTTTCTAGAGTCACCAGAGTTCGACAACTTCAAGCGTATCTGGAGGTCAGACAAGGGTGAGGACATCAAGGATCCCGGGCGCACCCGGTTTCTCTCGACGCGGTGCAAGTGCTTGACAGCTCCGAAGACAGACCAGTGCGCGTGCAAGATACACACGCAGCAAACCTTCTACCTGGAGGCGCTGGAGAATATGACACTTGTGGACCGCCCTGTATGCGATTGCCGATGGTGTAGCGCCGAGGACGGCGACGCGATATGGAAGGGACACTGGCGGCACTTAGGGACTTTCTCGGACGCCCTGGCTTGCCCAAAGGTGGACCTTCGAGCGGGGGACCCGGAGGAAGACAGCGAGGTCATGGGACGGAAGCCGGAGTGTGCTTCCTCCGACTGTAATGTCTGTGGGTTCGGGAAGGAGGGGGGCATTCCGTTCTGTAAGGTGCTGGAGACGTCGAAGCAGTTAGTGAAGTGGAAGCACTACGGTGACCTGGAGAGGCCCGGGAAGACAACGCTAAGGGACCAAGTGTTGGAGAAGGAGGGCAAGCTCTGCGACCTGTGGGCGGACTTCAAAAAGCACAGCAAGGTGTACATGGCGCATCACTCAAAGGCCAAGTGGCAGAGAAACTGCCACAACACCTGCCTACGAACGTTTCAGGACGGCGACATAGTCATCGAGACGGACTTCATCGAAAAGTACACCCATGAACCCCAAAAAGTTCTAACCTGCGCGAGACACGATACCACTACCCTCATGGTCGCCATCGTACACTTCTGCCCACAAGAATGGGAGGGCGGCGGCAGGGTCCACCTGAGCGAGACATGGGTTTTTGCTTCCGCGGACCCTGCCCACGACTTCGACTTCCATCTCCATGCCCTCAAGCAGATAGCTGACTACTACTTGGATGGTGAGGGGTCTGCAGCTACTGCATGTGCGAGGGAGGACAACCGGGTTCCGCGAATGCTCATGTTCACGGACGGCTGCGCCAAACAGTACAAGGGCAGGCGCAACTTTCGCTTTTTGTCCAACAGTGTGCGGGAGCTCGGCTTTGTCGTGGAGCACCACTTCGCGGCAACCTCTCACTTCAAAGGTTGCCACGACGGCATCGGCGGCGTTGTGAAGAATGCCATGAAGAAATCGGAGCAGCTCGGCAAGCCGATCACCGGCGCTAAGGGTGTGGTGGAGTTTGTGGATAACTATTTTGCCGACATCAGCAAGAAGAGCCTCTCCGAATACTTCGCTAGATGGTCAGCGTACCGTATCCGACGCGTGCACACCAAGCTCATTGGACCAACCGCGATCTACAGACCAAAGCGGGATCTTGTGGGCATCACCGGTACTCGAGATAACTACGTCTTCATTGGGGCCAACACGCCCACATTAGACGCATCCACCGCTACCAGACTTGGGAGAATGGCCGACGTTCCGGACGTCGTCAAGAGGGACTTGTCGTTGGCAACGGGAGTGGACGAAGGGGTGGTGAACGGGACGGGGCTCACAGTCGTGGCGATAAAGGAGTATGTACCATGGAGCGCTGCTTGGGAGGAAAAGCATGGGGGGGGAGTGGAGACCGATAGAGGTGGGGAGGAGGCTTCAGAAGACGAGGGGGAGGATAGGGATGGGGGGAGGCGAACCAGTCGGAAGCGGACGAGAAGCCAGATGCTCGTGCGCTCGGGTGAGGCTGAGGAAGAGGAGGAGGAGGAGGAGCAGGAGGAGGAGCAGGAGGAACACGATGCGGGGGCGGGGGCCGGGGCGGGGGGGCGCAGGCGTTCGGGTCGCACGCGGGTGAAGAACGGGACGCTGAGGGATCAGGGATGGGACGAGTCGTCGTCCAGCGAGGAAGACACCTCTGAATTCACGGGGGGGTTGGTGGGGGTGTGCAGGCGTTCGGGTCGCAGGCGGGTGAAGAACGTGACGCTCAAGGATCAGGGATGGGATCAGTCTTCCTCCTCCCAGT